CTGGTCAATGTTTTATTCATTGCTCTGCTCTCCCATAAAAGCACGATGGAGAATACAGAGCGCGGCCTAAAGAAGACGAAGTAATTACGAAAACTAACGTCAAGGTGATCTCTCCTGAGGCTCGAAAATGTTTTCGCTGAAGCTTTCCCAGCGTACGCTCACAATGGAGGCAGGTGCGCCAGCACCCGGCCGCTCCTCTATAATCCCTTACGTCCTCCAACCCGATTTCGCTAAGCTAGGGGAAGGACGGACTCGACAGGTTTGTTGTTCCCTTCTGCCCTTGGATGGGCATTGACTTTCCTCTAAAGTCCGGTTCAAAGCCGTGTCATCCCGTACCCTTATGGCGTCACCGGCGACGTAATACGGCTACGGGTGTTGTAAAAAAAAAAAAAAAAATTATAAAAAAAAATGCAACAACTAGAGGTTCAGGGCGAGGGAAAAGTACGCTGGGGAGGGGGAAGCAGGCGGAATGGTGGATAGAAGGAATGTTCTTTCCTCTCCGCTCCAGCAATCCGTCTGCTTCCTCCTCCCGTCCTACCTTCAACGGCGTGCACCAGTGTCACTTGTTCGTGACTTCCAAGACATCTACAAAAATTGTCGTTGTTGGTGGCAGTCGAACAGAGAAAGGAGTGCGCCAAGCGTTTTTAGAATCGGCCCTCAAGGTGTTCGTCAACGAGACTGATGATTCAGGTAAGATGTGGCGCTTCATATTTCTCTTAGTACAAATTGCTTAGAGCGCACTGCTTCCGTCAAATTATATTTAAGGCCATCGGAATAGTCTGCTGTCGACTGGTGTTATAATCGAATAATTCGTGCTAGAAAACAAAAGTCGCATAGTCAATGGCTTGCCGAAATTGGCGAGCTCATGTTGTAAGCAGAAATATTCTCGGAATATTTATTTAAGTTCCAAAATGTTAAATACCGAAATATTGACATAGATATTGGCTTGTCTAGAAAATTCTTGCCTAAATAAAATACTACAAAATGAAAGAGCTCTCAGGGGAAATTCAGTAAACCATTCATGTATTAGTGTTTCAAAGCATCTCAATCGCTTGGTTACTAGTAGGGCTAAACGTCGGTAAAAAAACATGTTAGCACGATTAAATATTTTCTCTTATTCACTTAACTAATTGATTAATCGGTTTCGTTTATTACCATGAATAATAGACTAAAAAAGTCAAAACGGGATATTTTGCTTTCGCTGAATATTGTTATAAACGGCGCGATATACAATTCAGGACTTTAAATCAACCTTGATGTGTAGTTGAAATCAGCCAAAAGGCATCCACACTCCCAATTTATTACTCCAGCCGCGGAGGCAAAGAGGTTCCTTCATATTCTCCGGCAATAGCGAACTGCTTTGATTATGCGCTAAACGGACTCTCGCCAGGCGCTGAACGTTACTGGGACACGTATAACTTCCACTTGCATTACGGCGAAGACGTGTTTATCGTTGGTGATCTGTTCAGGACTTTGAGGGAATGAGAAGAGATTGTTGTTTTATTCACTAGGTAGTAGGGTCCTTGTTTTATCTATGCTTAACATCTACTATATTCAATCTTTTTACGCTTCTTCAGATTTATACTAATTATTTCCAAGAACAATATTAATTTCAGACAATCATTTTTGTTTCCACAGATTCCCAACAAATTTGAGCAGCGCAGTGATAAGGTGCCTTATGAAAGCCTCACTGTATTTTTCGAGTCAAAGTCCTAGCAGATCCTTGAACTGACATGGAGAAGGTGGGCTCACGAAGGACGCCTCGCTATTCCTCAGACATGCGCAGCTGGAGCAGAATATAGCTAAAGCAACCGATCAAGAAAACCTACCCATCACAAAAATGCAGCGAAACTCGAGTCGATGTCCTCACAGAATACGCGGTGGGTTAATCACTTTGATCTACAGAGCTCTTCAAGCGAATGACGCAGCTCATAACACTGTTTAAATCGAAAACGCGATCTGCGCAGGACCATATTTTCCTTTTCCTGTGCGTACCTGGCGGGGTTCCTTTCGAGTCCTGACAAATTACGAAGTTAAACTGGCCCAGTTTTCTAGCTTAGTACATGACCAAGTCGTGTGCGACGTTTCGAGAATTGGCGTTGCACTAATTGGGTCCAAATTGAGCTAAATTCATATTCGAATTATATGCATCCCCTAAACATGTGCCCGCTTCGTACTAGGCACATGAAGGTCATATGTATGTTAAAATAATTTAAACACTACCTGTTCACTTCATCTTGTGATATGTGAGCATTTGGTGAAAGGCCTCAACAGTCCATGCAAAGTTAATGGCTGCGAACATCGAAATCATTACGTGACATTAAAAGAAAAATTATGCACTCACACAGCATACGGAAGCAGGCAATCTCTGATTATTATATCTAAATATGAAAAATAATAGAACGTATAATCATGACCCATGTTTGCATACTTTTTTTAAGTGCGGTACTTTATTATATTGCAGGTTCCAGGAGAAAGATAAACTCATCTGACGGTCCTATTCTCTACAGAGGACGCCTTCTATTCTGCAGCTGTCCAAGTCCAGGTAGAGGACCTGTCGGTGGATGTTGGCGACGTCATACATGGCTTCAGCCTCATAATCTATTGAACTTTGGATATTCAATATGCAACGGGGATCAAGTCCACCTTGGCTCTCTTCAAACGTACGATCGGGCTGAAAGAAACACCACTGGAAAAGGTTGCCCTGAAGCTTCTTGGCAGGCTACAAGCTTTTAGTAATTATTTTTTAAGCTTTTGACCTGTATCAAGTTTTTGATTTTACAATAAAAACGTGGTTGACAATATTGTTGGCTGACATGACTGGCAGGAATTTTTTTCAAATGTCTGGATTGTGTGTTTCTAGAAGTTTTCAGTTAAATTTTGATGCCGGCACGTTGCCGTGGGTATTATTCTCTTATCCCTGAAACCTCCTCGAAGTGCCTCCTTAAGGAACTTGACACGCAAAGAATTCAGAACTCTCTCGTATGACAGCTGGCCTTAGGAATCATCGCCCCTCCAGCACACCTGAACAAGCCAGTTAGCTGAGTTTCGGGGTCTGAAAAAGTGCCTTCACTATTTGGAGCTCCGCGAGACCCATGGTGTAAAAAAGCGACCCCAAAAGTGGGGAGTCGCGGAAAACCTCGAAGGTTGTGTATAGTGTCTGACAACACTCGCCATTAGGGGGATCACGCGAGTCTCTAGGTATAAAAACGGGCACCACAAAGCACCCAATTCAGGGGCGATCAAGTGATTCCCTGAGAGTTGTAAGCGGTACTAAATAATGCCTGGATTTACGGGTGTCACATGAGTACCTGGGTGTCACAAAAGGCGCCAAAAAGCACCCTATTTAGAAGGGATTCGTTGACTCCCTGAGAGTTGAAAATGGTTTCATATAATTCCTCTACTTAGCAGTGTAATATAAGTACCCGAATGTAACAGAGGGCGCCTAACAGCACCCGAAGTAAGGGGTGTCGTTTGAGGCCCGTGGACTTTGAGGGGGGTGCTAAGTGATCCCGTATATCTGGGGAGTACTTGAATTCCCCAACTTGAGAGGATACCGCAAACACCCCAGGGGAGTCACATATGGGACACGGTCTAACTCCCCTGAGGGGAGTACCCGCATACACCCTTTTTTCTTAGAGTGTACCCGCGATACGACTTCCAGTGGCTGAAAGTTAATAGAACAAAAAAAAAATAAAAAATAAAACGCATGAACGGCTCTAAAGTCTGGATACTTGTTACACTGGGTCTTCAAGCCGACGTCGTAGGCAATTATTTGTGTACAAAGCTGCTTCATTTTGGGGTGGCAGAAGAAATTTTAGGGGAGGCGCCCGCCACCCCTCGCATCCCCTTGGCGCCGTCCCTGGTGCTCGGAGACAGATCTCTATGGGAGTTTCCCAATTGAGTGTTTTAGTAACGTTGGTGCAGGGGTTCACTCTTTGGACTTTAGAATTTGTTCCCAACTGATTCGAAGCAGTTTCATGGTGTCAAATGAATGCTTTAGAAGCTCGCTCCAGTCCCCGCGCTCCAGCAGGGTACAAATGATTGGCATATTCTGTTTTTTAGACTGCTCGCTCGACTGGCAAGCCTGCCCGCCACTGACGTCACGGCACTGAAAAGTGCGGGTATATTTGAATGTTGGTTTTTGCATCATTTTCATTTGCCGATTTCGCAATAACTATTGTGAATTTCGCGATACTAAATAGCATACCGGAATGGGTAAAGGCCGGGGAGTCAGAAAATATAGTTAGTTGAGGTAGCTCAAAAAATCGCCGGAGTACCCCTTTTAAGGCAGCGCACGACTAGTCACATATAAGCACAATAAAGTGATTTTTCTTTTATTCAAGCTCGCAGTTTTGCAGCCTCTAATGCTAACTTGTGCGTGATGAAAACACAGGCCCTTTTGGTTTTCCCGAGCCATGGCTGCGGAATATGCGTTCTATAGTTTTTTTTTTGTTTTTCTTTATTTACACATACTTTTAGCTGACAGCTTGGCTGCTGCCAGCTGCCAAGGCAGGAGGAGGCATTGACAATTGAATTACTCATAACAAGCAATTTATAACAATACAAAAAATAAATACCAAACAGTGACTAAACAGTTGATGAACTTGAAAAGTAACAGTAAAGCGCTGTCGAAACCTCTTGAATAGTTGAGGCACTCGTAATGTGAGCTGGAAGACTGTTCCATTCGTCAATTGTGCGCGTGAAAAATATTTTTTAAAACATTCGGTACAACAGTAGGGTACGACAATCGTGTTTGTATATTTGCGACTTGTATGACGTCAGGAATTAAATTGCATAAATTTGTTAAACAAGAGGCGAGAGGACTCATGGAGAATTGTATTTAAGAGCTTGCGTGGATTAATCCGGAGACGAATCGACAAAAAGGTGTTTTTAGATTGATGATTAGTATAAAGCGTTTAAGTATCACTCACTTATCGCTTTTTGCCTGCACTACGAATTGAAGGTAAAGCAACTGGTTCATTGAGCCTCTCACTTACCCAGCTTACAACAGGCTATCAGCCTCCCCTGAGGGTCGGGTTGCTTGAGAATGGAGATGAGTTTGTTTTGGCGGAATATCGCATCGAACAAGATACGTGATGGCAGTAGATTATCGTAGACGTCGGTGTATTCTCGCCGGACGTGGAAGTACTTCCGGATTACTTCCAAGGTTTCCTTGACGCGGTACTTTCGGCAACGCAGGAACTTCACCAAGAACTCCTCGTCCAGGGGGCATTTCAGCGCCAGGTCCTCTGTCATGGATGCACGGAGTGCAGTATATTTTATCACAACTTAACCTACCGGTATCTCACCCGGACCAGCGGAGACAAACATTACTGATTTGTACAGATTTACAAGTTCGGTCTCTAGGCGCCGCCATTTTGGTGCTGGTGTGTGCACATCGCCCGGTTTCCAAGCCAGCGTGGTAGTGGCCATACCTTTAGCATTGAGCGGCAGCTTGCTCCGCTTAGAGACTAAAAACAGGCTAAAAATAGTCCTGCTAGTTTTTTTCGGGAGCGATTTTCCTGACACAAGAGGGGTTTTGGTGCAAGTGAATGCTCAATGCTAGGTGCTTCCCCGCCCCTAACATTAGAGAATACACGAAAATAATAAAACACATAAGGACGAACACAGACACACATAATTGCCCTAACATTGTCGCAGATTGTGTCCTAAGTTCCATCTCTATTTAAATCACATAGCCGCCGAATTTGAGTACAGATCCACACCTCCCAATAATTTTCTACCAATCTCGGTCCAACTCTTCGTGATTGCAATCTTTTTATCCTCCGTTCTCCCATTCTTGCCAGAAACACTTTTGCCCCCCCTTTAAAAAGCCTGATCCTTGTACCTTGCATTTAGAAACTTTACGTTCTATTGTTGAATTCTCGCTTTAATAAGTAATATATATCTTCAAACTTTACACTATACGCCTTAGTTTCCAACAATCCTGTCATAGCTTCAAACAGCAACAGCTCTCAAATGAGGTGTCAAACAAACGATATTTTTCTAGTTTCCATTGCGCAACGCCCTTGGCTCAAACGTGACATCGGTGTTTTATTTTCTTGTATTTCGTTCCCACCACATACCAACATCTGTAAAATTTTACTGCTTGGGTTGGTGACCGGTATATATATTCTCACACAATACAAATAATTATTATTGCAGCCCTTCAACATCAAGAGAAAAACCAGTGAAGCGAGCAATTGCTTGTTCGTGCTATTTTTTGGGCGCTTCTTATATTATGATTACTGCTGATTTCTTTGGCATTTATTCGTCTCACATATTCTTGGTGGGTTTCTTGCTCATTTCTGAAAGCGACAGGCAGCTCAGTCTGCAGGAATTTAAGCCTTATCAGTTCCGCTCGCTTTGTCCATTCTTTGTTAAAATTGCAAGCACATTATTCTTACATATTTAACGCGCCCATTGTGAATGCTGTATTTCAGTCAATGTTAAGATAAAGTTCATTTATGTTTTTCAATCAGTGTTTAGAAGTTCGGTCTAGTGAATTTTTATGTGCTGCAAAAGATAACTAGCCTTTTTTTATCTGCAATCGTTTTCATGTGTTTCCTAAATGCTGACAATGATAACCTGTTCACGCTCTTTCTCCTGGCCTGAAAGCTTAATTAAACTTCTCACCTAATGCACAGCACGACTCTGCTGAACGACGCTGTCGACACCATGACTCGTTTCCAAAACCGCATAGACCCTTCGTATCCCCTCATACTCCCATTGTACATTAAGAGCTGAATTTATTTGTCCGGTCTTAAAATTGTTTTACAATTTTGTTTCCATTTACCGGCGAGGAGTGTCCGCAATTGAGCCACAGCGTCCCTCTTGACTTTCGGCGTTTCACCAAGCTCTTGCCTGGCTGTGAGCATCAGGTCGGGGGAAAATCTCTCCATGGTCCAACTTGACGCGCTCTCTGCCCGCCTCTGTTGAAAAGTCAAGCGGGAGTGTCAGAATTAGCTTTTCTTTTAAATACTGACATACAACAAAAAGTGCTCGGCATTTTGCGATTAGTGCGTTATATACTTATACAAGGATTGTTTTGACGTCAGATCGGCTGCCATTACGGCGTCCCTGCTGCTCTGTGCGTAGCTTGTTCGGTGCGCATTTGGAATTAACGAATTTATTTTTTCGGGGCGAGAACAACTAGGAATGACCTTAAACATGAAGTGAGGACATCGCGTGCAAACCTACTTCCTGTCACAATTTTTTTTCTTCCTTTTTTATAATGCAGACCAAGGCACAATGCCTTACTGAGGATAATTAAGGCTTTGCTTGGACGACAACTAGCGTGATAAGGCACTTTTAAAAGCCATGCGTTCGCGCGGATGCCTTCGTCACCACTGGAAATATTTGTGAGACGAAGCTTTGTGCGCAACACCTTAAAGGGTTACTTCGCTAGAAAACTTAACCAAACAAACGACTGGTATCGCTTTAATGGCACGAAATATTCCATCAAAGGAAGCTGCGTACTCCACTAAAACCGATTTTAAAAATACGAACAGCCGCTTCTTGGTGGGCAGCAAGCGAGGTGACTTTTAGTCAATTAACACTGCTGCAGCACACTCGGTTGGTTGTACCGCGTACCGCAGCGCCCTTCTGGCGTCACGTCCCGGCCGGATGCTATCCGCAGTACCCTTTATAACGCGCGTACCGCCCGTTATGAAGGGTTCAGCCGTTTGTAACGAACTGTACCCAAGCTACTGCCCGTTACAAACGGGTGGTAACTTGCACCACCTAGCCTTAGTCTACGAAGACGGCTGATGATCAGTGTTGCCATCCTTTCAGCAGGTAGTTTCGGTTTTGCCGTGAATGCCAGAAACCACATTTTTAGCCATGATATTTATAAAACGACACACAATATCGTACAAATTATGCCTTGTAGTTCAAGGACTCTGCTTTAGCTGAAAACAGTCGTAATCCCATATTAAATATATTACCAGAGTTGCCCTTTAATGCCGCCGATTTTTGGTAGACTTCGATTTGGCTGAAAATTTAGACCGCATCAATAATCCTTTTCCAAGTGATAACCAAAATATTTTATAAAAATAAAAATTTTCCGTTAGGTTATTGAATTTTCAAGTAACGCCGACCGGGGAAGGTTCCAGGAGGCGACTCTCTACTTTTACCTACCCACGTACGTCACGGGTGGGTAGGCGGCCGAGCGACTCGGGCAGACGCGAAGTGGCTTTCCGAGCTCCAGCGATCGAGATTATTTTTTCGCATCTTCAAGGTTGAAAGTTTCTTCGCAATCGGTGGCGATCTGTGCTCCACAATAGATTCTAGAAAAAGTTCCGGGAAAAAGCTTCTTTTTTAGCCTCGTTTTCCTGCACGCGAGAAACAAAATGCGTTCCGCGGCAGCAATGGAGGCCAGCCATGTCAATGTGCTTTTCCGCGAGCTGTGTGCCGAGAGAACTAGTGTCACGTGAAACATTTTCAATTTTGCTCGCAATACTATATAGCCGCGTGCTGTGAGTTGAGTATCCTTCAGCAGCTGGAACAGCTTCAAGAGCGGCAAGCGCAAACTCAAGCCGGCTTTGACCACTACGACATCCGTCCAAAGAAGAGCGCTAATAATATCGGGAAAAATAATACATAATCTCAATCTATTGTCGACATTTTGCAGTCACATTTGTTACTCACAATTGGTTCAGTGATTTTTTATTATTTTTATAAACACTACATTTGTTTAGGACGTCGAATCTAGCTCGGGCTACTCTCGGAGTTCCACTCACGCGGCCGATATGTTGAAGACGAGAAGTGACACGTCTAAACAAAGTTTAAGTCTGAATTTTGACGCGACTTTCGACATATTTCTTTTCCTGTCTACTATTACAGAGGTTTATGGAGCAGGTGTTGAGCTCCAGATAGAGCCTTTGCCTGGTTTGTCAAATGGTTGGTGTGCAATATTCTCTGCAGAAGAAGTGATGAAAACGTCTTTAGTTTATTCTATTGCGGAGAAATTCTATATAGGGCTGAAATTTTTTCTTTTTAAAGCCATGAAAATATTAATGTCGTTGAGGGAAGGCATGCAATTTTACAGCTAATGTAGAGTGTGGTAAACCAAACTTAATTAAATCTTATATAGAATTACTGCCTTCCCATGTGCTCTCGTGGATGGGTGTCTGAACACGTTGCATTCTACTCTAAAAGTAAAAAAAATAAATACGGGTACATATTCTTGTAGTAACTTTTGTTAACATATTTTGAATTAAAAGTTGTATGATGTCTTTCTGTACCTTACGCATTATTGTATATTGAAGCAAATATCATTTATTTGAAGATGAACAGTGTATTTGTGTATTTTATACGCAATCCATTGCACCTTGATGTTTGGCTTGGTGGTTGCAGAGTTCTTTTAATTGTCATTTTAGCACGATCTTCATGACCAGTAACCTGCCATCTGATCTACACGAGTGCAGTTCATTCCACTCTATACCTTTCATTGTTTACGAGATTCACAGTCTAGTGATAGATCCCAGCCCAGCACGCACATGTTGGTCACTTTGGAAGGCGAGCAATGTACGCACCACACGCACGAACGCTCAAGATGGCATCGACCAGAAGCGCTTTGTTAGAAATGGTCTATAGATCTTTCGCTAAATTGCTTAAACACCAAGGAGCATATTCATGCCACAAGAGTAGTTACAGTGCTGGCGCCTGCAACAGTAACTTTTCTAAAGAAAACTTAAAACAAATGGCACGTTCCTTCAGGTTATGCAAGCGTGGGGGGCTTCTTTACCCACATTCCGAGCATTTTCCGTGGTGCTTTGGCAATTTGTCAAAGAATGTATTGCGTGACTTTTCGACCTTTCTTCGCCAGCCATTTTCTAATAGAAAGAAAAATACTAGCGATATCATGAAACTAGCGAGCCGCGGTTTGAGAGTACCGAGTTGCAAAAACTGTTTTATCAAAATTCCAATAGCTCCTGTTTTTTTTCTACTTTCTCATAGTTTAGCACGTAGGATAAGGTCACACTTTGTGCAAATATAGATAAATATGAACTTCACACAGCACGAACGCCCAGGTTTTCTCGCTGTTAGACGCGAGAAAGGCGGGCGCGAGCGTACCCGATTGCCGGCCGCGCGCCTCGCTTCCCACCCGTGACGTCACGCTTGGGTGGCGAAAAACACTGTGGAAAAACTAGGAAGAACGATGTTTCGGTTTCGGCAGCAAATAAAATATCACCTTTTTAATTAACTAGAGTGAATCTGGGAGAACGAGATAGCATTTCGGAATCAGGAAGCCATCCGCATTCATATGGTGCCTTTGGATTAGGTAGCTCGAAAAAGCGGCGGAGTTCCCCTGGGAAATAAATTTTTTTTATTGTCTTCGCTTCGGCTGGAAATTGGCAGACCCCATCAATAACCCTTCCTCAACTATTATCCGAAATATTCTATAAAAATAAAGTTTTTCCTTTGAGTTATTGAATTTTCAAGTTACGCCGGCCGCGGGGTTTCCAGGAGGCGACTCTCTCCTGGCAACAATAAAAATTCCTACTTTTCCCTACCCATAGAGGAGGTGGAGAAAACTTTTATTGATTGCAAAATATATTTTTAGTATAGGTGGGGCCCTTAGTCCAGGGCTACTGTGCTTTCTGCCGCAGCTTTCACCCTTTGGCCCGAAAACCAGCGATTACTGGCTGTCGGGGGAGGCAAAAGCGCATCGTGCTTCGAGTTGAGTATCCTCCTGCAGCTGGAACCGCTGTGAGAGCGGGAAGTGCTGACTCAAGCCGGCTGTAACCACCACAACAGTCGTCCAAAGAGGTGCGCTAATAATATCAGGAATAATAATGCACATTCTAGTACCATAGTCGACAATTGTCGAAGTCACATTTGTTGTTCACAATTGCTCAAATGATTTTTTTTTTATAAACACTTTATTTGTTTTTTTACATCGAATCTAGGGCAACTCTCGGAGTTCCATTCACGAGGGCGATCTGTTGAAGACGAGAAGTGAAACTCCTAAAAAAGTTCAAGTCTGCGTTACTTTCGGCACATTGGTATTCGTGTCTGGTGTTACATAGGCATAGGAAGCAGGTGTTGAGCTCCATTAACATACGATAGAGCCATTTCCTGGTTTGTAAAATGGTTGGCATAAAATATTTTCTCTCAGAAGGGGTGGTGAAAACGTCGTGTTTTTTATTCTATTGCGAAAAACTGTTATATAGTGCTGACAAGTTTTTAAAAATTTAAGAATATAAATGTCCTTGAGAAGAGGCATGCAAATTTACAGATTATGAAGGCTGTTCAAAACCAGAACTTTATAAAAACAAATTTTATATCAGATTACACTCTTCCCTATGTGCCCTCGGGGATAAGTGTTTGATGAGCATGTTGCATTCTACGGTAACAGTAAGAGGGAAAAGAAATATGGGTACAACTTTTTGGGAGGCAACTTTTGTTAAACTATTTTTAATTAAAATGTTCTAACACGTTTCCGTACTTTACGCAATATGTCAAGCAAATATTCTTAATTTAAAGATGAATAGAAAGTGTGTGTATTTTAAACGCCTTTCATTGCACTTTGCTGCATGGCTTGGTGGTTGCGGAGTTTTTAATTCTTTTTTTAGCACAATCTTCATGAACAGAAATTTTCTTACACAAATGCAGTTCATTCCATTCCATACATTTCCATGTTTACGAGAGTCACAGCCCACATTAGTTAGGTCTGCGCCCAGAACGCGTATCTTCATCGCTTTGGAAGGCGAGCAAAATACGCACTACAAGTACGAACGCGGAAAATGGCACCGACCAGGAGCGCTTTTCCAGAATGATCTATCAATATTTCGCTAAATTACTTAAGCAACAAGGAGCATACGTATGCAACAAGGGAATTTATGTGCTGGTAACTTTTCTTAGAAAATTCTAAAATAAATCGCACGATTCTTTACGTAAGTCGAACGTGTGGGGCACCTGCCACGTT